TGTGTGTGTGTGTATATATATATCTACAAGTGTTTTAAAATTAATTTGTATTTTTTTTACAGCAGAGCAGAACTGGGACAATAATAATTTTACATATTTAATATTTAAAATATGTAATTAGTGATAATTGTTGAATTTTCTTTATAAATACAAAATTGTATAATATATAAAATATGTATAAATATGTATAAAATATAAATATGGTTGTCACAACCACATGGACTTTGTTTGTTTTCACCATTCCTGCCTTTGTTAGTGGTTGTTGTGGTTACTGATTTGATTATATTATTCTTTTCAGTTGTGTGTAGCTTATTATCCTGGTTTGGTCTGTGTATTTCAGTTCCTGTCTGTTCCGTTTGAGTTTTTCGGGTCTGGTCAATGTTACATGAGTCGCCAGCCTTCCCTTGTTTGGATTTACCCAATCTGTGGATTTATTAAAGACTGCTTATCTTCTTCTCGTCTTCGTGTGTGTTTATTGACTGTCTGTGACAGTTGTGTTCATTTTAATCATATGTTCATTTTTAGAGCATAGCAGAACTAGGAAAAACATAACATAACATTTACATATTTAAAACTATATAGAAATGTGCTAATTGTTTCGAAATTAATAGTTTAGTAAAATAAATATTTGTAATTTTTGACAGAGCAAATCTAGGGAGAAATCATGTTTACATATTTAATAGAAATGTGTGATCATTTTTTAGTTTAGTTGTAAATAAAATAGATATTTGTAATTCTAAGAAGAACAGAACTAGGACAAACATCCTATATTAAATAGAAATATAATTTTTTGAAATTTTTTTTGGAGCAGAATGGGGAAACATTTGACATTTTACTGATTTAAGATTTTACATACCTCAATGACTGTTTTAGACTTATAGGAAATAACAATTCCCTGATATTTCTAGGCTTTCTGAGATGGCCCAGCCACACATTAAGACAGCCTTCTTTTATTTGACTCAATCACAGTTAACACTGATATGATTAAGATGACAAACATGATTTGGAATGCAAACACTCAACAGTCCTGGTCTGCAGTCTGAACTCACAGTCCATGGCCACATTTACTGACGACGGAACTGGAGGAAACCAAGAGAGTTTTTGGTGCAACTTTCATCTTGAGATGCTGAGGGCTGGCCTGGACCAGTTGCTCAAACAGGAAGTTCAGCTCTGAATGGATGTATGGATGGATGATGACACATGAGATCTGGTTTGGATCTGCATTAATATTCAGTTCATTGTCCCAGATCAAGGCTGTGGTCATAACAAACAAAGGACTGTAGTCCTTAAAGGGTTGTCTAAACAGAAATCTTCTGAAATGCTTCAGAAAGATGCAGAGAAGCCCAAGCAGGAATAAAGGAACAAAGAGAATGGAATGAAGCGGAGATGATGGGGAAAGACGGGTAAGGCATCCATGCTCTGTGCTGGAACTGTCCAGGATGGCCAGCACCACTGAAGTCTACATACAGGCCGATACTGCATGGCTTGATAGCCAAGATGGTTACTCTGGTAGGTCAGGCTTGCATTCTTTTCCGGGTTTGCTTGGGTCGTCTCGGTTTGAGGATGACATATCTGCTGTAGGTGGTGTATTGCTCAGACAGAAATGGGATAAAAAAGGCCCTGAGCAATCTGGACGACCTGTGTGGGAAAGACACGCAGAGTCATGAACAGACCAACAACGTTTAAAGCAAAAAAAAAAAAAAAATGACGTAATATGCACAAGACAGTCTACAAAATCCATAATTCTAGATCACTTATAAATGAACTAGAATCTACTTTCTTTAAAGGGGTCATATGATGCGATTTAAATTTTTCCTTTCTCTTTGGAATGTTACAAGCTCTTGGTGCATAAAGAAGATCTGCAAAGTTGCAAAGACTAAAGTCTCAAATCCAAAGAGATATTCTTTATAAAAGTTAAGAGCCAACCACGCCTACCTAAAACGGCTCGTTCTAACACGCCCCCACATGTCTACGTCACAATGTGGAAAGATTTGCATAACGCCGCCCAAATGTTCACACAAAGAAAGGTGGCGTAACTTTTATTCTCGCTGTAGTATTGTTGTTGCCGCCGCCGCCATGTTGTGGAGACGCTGTGTGTTTCGTTGTGAAAGCGAAACTACTTTGTTTGACCTTCCAAAAGAGGACAATATCCGCTTCATCATGCCTGGAGCTGATAAGTGCTGGTTGCTGAGGAAATACAACAACTTTGCATTGTGGATCACCGGATTGGCTTTCACCGTGGACAAAGCGGAGTCCAACCGTTTGTTGTTTGTCATTTCTCCGATCACAAATGCAGACAGTGTTTTATGTTTACGCGGCGCGATGCAACGTGTAAAAAGACAGTATAAGTCATTATAATCAGTAATTATGTCCCCACTGGATGCAACAAATGCCTCGTTTATAATGGGTTTTAATGTTTTTGTCTTGTCGCTCTGGCCGGACACGGCATCACAGGTATGGTAAGGGGCGTAACATTTCCGTCACATGCTTGAGGTATATACGATAAGGCAAGAAGTATGGACCCGTGTAAATATCGGATCAGCTTTCCAGCGCTGGAGAGAACTCAAGGAGCGGAGGCCTGCGATCGGACGCCGAGGTTGCTTTGTTTCTTCTCAATAGGTGAGTAACACCGTGTCTACAACAGCTAAAGTCTGCCTACACTGGACGCGATCAAACGACCGTTGAAAACCATTTGAAATTTGTGTCAGCACGTCATAAATAGAACCCGGCAGCAGTTTTCTGTCAGGATTTGTTGCACCGCGCCGCTCACGTCCGGTGTAGACACGGTGTAATATTGGTTTTGCTTTGTTTCACAGAACTAATCTTTGCCTAGTTTGCGTACGTATATGTGGGGAGGAGCTATCAAAATAGGGGCAAGACCCTTTTGGGGTAGGGGCATGTTTGTTTTGGTGATTTCAAATATTAACATTGGCTACCAGAAATCGCTTACCCTGCCTTTAAACCGCATAAACACATTTCATTACACCAAATAATGTTCTTTTTAGCAACATCATATGACCCCTTTAAAAACAAAACATATCCACATTTATTTCCCCATCATGAACTGGGCAATAAAGACACCCAGAGATAATGACTGATTAATTGGGTCAAGGATAATCTCTTTTAGGATGATCAGACATCAAGTGTCACAACAATGAATGATGAGCGCTTGACAATGATGTCATAGTATCTTTAAAAGAACAAGGGGGCCCTCTAATGGATAAGCACACACCCTACAATTTTCAATGACTCTTTACAGCAGAATTCATATGCTCTGCATGGATTACCCACACAAGAGTCTCTTGTATGTTAACAAATTTCCACTTGTTTTCAAAATTGTCCATTCTCCACACAAAAAGACTTGCCTAGTAGTGTCTAGAAAAGGCTTTTCAGCAATAACGCTCCACTCCTCTTTGTTAGTGGCGTATCGTGGTTCACGAGGGGCTTCTGTTTCAGTTGCCAGATCCACCAGGTAATGACACTGCTTCAGTTCTACCTGAGAGCAAGAGAACATGGAAAATTACACATGTACTTCACATACAGCTGCAACACTGATCTTTTAAGACAGAGCTAGATTAGCTCTCAAATTTTTAACAGCTTTACACTTTAAACCAAATGTTGTGCTGTTCATCTTGAATGAGTCTCGTATTAACACTCGGAACCCCTTATTGAAGACTTTACTGAACTGCTTAAAGGGGTCATATGATGCGATTCAAATTTTTCCTTTCTCATTGAAGTGTTACAAGCTCTTGGTGCATAAAGTAGATCTGTAAAGTTGCAAAGACTAAAGTCTCAAATATAAAAGTTGAGTCAACCACGCCTACCTAAAACGGCTCGTTCTAACACGCCCCCACATGTCTACGTCACGATGTGGGAAGATTTGCATAACGCCGCCCAAATGTTCACGCAACTTAAAAAGAGATTATAAGTCATTATAATCCGTAATTATGTCCCCACTGAATGCAACAAATGCCTCGTTTATAATGGGTTTTTATGTTTTTGTCTCATCGTTCCGGCCGGACAGGGCATCACAGTATAGTAAGGGGTGTAACATTTCCGTCACACGCTTGAGGTATTCGGTCAATCACAATGCACTGGATAGCTGGCCAATCAGAGCACACCTCGCTTTTCAGACCGATGAGCTTTGTAAAAATCGACGCGTTTCAGAAAGGCAGGGCATAGAGGATAAACAATAATGTACAGTATGTGGAAAATAATGTGTTTTTTTAACCTTAAACCGCATAAACACATTTCATTACACCAAATACACAAAATAATGTTCTTTTTAGCAACATCATATGACCCCTTTAAGATAATGAAGAGGAAGTATGGAGAAAAAAAAAAGTCTAATCACTGTTGATCTTGATTCTTTAAAAAAAAAACAGAGTGAGCTTTCACACATTCAACAGTTATTAGGCTTCATAACCTTGCAATTAGTCAAATGCTAAACGGAAATGTATGTAGTGGAACACTCAACGTATCGTGACAGCTCCTCAAGATTCTGATCATTCATGTCTGATGGGATCATCCAGGTGGCATCAGGACCCATGGAATATGGCTTAGGTAACTGACCCCTGAACTCTGACTGGATAAACTGTAAGTGCCAGCTGTAAAACAAGATGATACAGTTAGTATAGATCATAGACCTATAACAGTGTTCAAAAGTTTGTGGGATTTTATTTTAGGTTTTTGAAATAAGTTTATTATCTTATACTAAAAACTGCATTCATTTGATCCAAAATAGGCAAAGCAGTAATATTGTGAAATATTATTACAATTTAAAATATGTTTTATATTTCAATATATTTTAAATGTATTTTAATCCTGTGATGGCAAAGCTGAATTTCAGCATCATTACTCCAGTCTTCAGTGTCACATGACCCATCAGAAATCATTCTAATATGCTGATTTGCTGCTCAAGAAACATTTCTTATTATCATCAATGTTAAAAACAGTTGTGCTGCTTGATGTGTTTGTGGAAATAGGTTTTTTCTAGATTCGTTCATGAATATAAAGTTGAAAAGAACAGCATTTGTTTGAAACAGAAATCTTTTATAAATGTATTTACTGTCACTTTTGATCCATTTAATGCATCCTTGCTGAATAAAAGTATTAAAATTCTTTCAAAAGCAAAATACAACTCATACTAACCTCAGACTTTTGAGCGGGGGTTTATAGTCATGTGGCGTCTTTGAGAATTTAATCAGAATACAAACTCACTTGTTGGGCAGGAGAAAACTGCTGGGGAAGCGGTACCACTCTTTCCCCGCACAAACATTAACCAGTCTTCCTTCTGGAACCGTGTGGATTGCAGGGTCTTTAGCAATGCGATGAAACTCTGGATACAAATCCAGCGGAGCATGATAGCCTTAAAACACACAGCAACCCCATGTTAGAGAGACATCACAAAAGGAGTACTTTACTGCACAAGGTAAGAATATGATTATCCTTTTGTTTTATCCTCAACTTCATCTGGCTGCTAGATAACTCTAATATGAGGGCATGTTTCAGCAGAACTAGTCTAAATCTCTCTCTCTGTATCTCTTTCTCAACATCGTTATTGTTGAGCCCTTATATGTTTTGCCCTTACCTCTGAAGAGGGCCACAGATCGGGACAGCGAGAGCGCTCCAAACAGCAGCACAGAGCCGAGAGCCAGCCAGTTGGAGGAGATGGTGTAGTGTTCCAGACGGTAGCGCTGGAATATGAAGTGATAGCACTTCTACATGGATAAACAGACAGAAAACAGTTTCTAAAGGGAAATGATTTGAAGTATCACATGCATACTTTACGCAGGTTTAGCAAACTAATTTACAAAACACTGAGGAAATATGCCAATAAAGATGTGCAGTTGTCCATAGTTTTTAAAGGCTTTTTTTTTTTTTAAAGAGTTCCATATACACTACCATTCAAAAGTTTCAAATATTATAAATATATTAATACATTTACTCAGCAAGGATGCATTAAATTGACATTTGTGTTACAATTTCTATTGTTACAAATGTTATTATAATTCTTATATTCTTATTATAATGTTTCAAATAAATGTTCTTTTGAACTTTCTATTCAACAAAGAATTCAGATTTTTTTTTCTTCTTTTAAACAAAGCCTGCATCACGGTTCACAACTGTTTTCAACATTGATCATTTCAACTGTTAATGTGACACTAAAGACTGGAGTAATGGCTGCTGAAAATCCAGCTTTG